AATTAACATTAATGTGTTGTCGAGATTTACTTCCTTTTTCAATTGTGGAAAATGAAGGTGTGTGTGTTTTTAGCAATTAAATATTACCTATTAAGTCTACTTATGTTTAGGTTTTCAAGATTTTTTATGAAAATAAAAAAACAGATACTGCTTATTTTTGAAAAGATTAATCATTTTTAAAATTTCTAGCCGCCGCCGTTGGATGGCTAAACAGTCCGAGCCGCCGCCGCTATGAGCAGAAAAAAGTTTAAATTTTTACAGCCGCCGCCGCCGCCGACCGGGTCACAGATCTGAATCAGCCGTCGCCGAACTTTTAGAAAATTGAAAAATTACGAGCCGCCGCCGCCGCCGCCTAACTGCTCGGCTTACACCTCTACTGCTGATTCACTTCGAAGGGAAGTGTTGACAGAAAGGTACGATCCCCATATGAATCAGTATGGCGCAATACATAAACAGAGCTAAAACAGAAGCTTTTTTCACTTTTTATTATTTAGTCGAATTTCTAGTCTGTTGGAAAGCTTTCACTCGCAATTCAACAGTCGAAATTTCTCACTCGAAAATCGACAGTGTCGAATTTTGTCGAAAAGTAGAACTGTCGAACGGCGACTAAACCGCGTATTCAGAAAGGAGCGCTAGTGTTAGAAAGTTATCAATCAATTAATCTAGCCCGAGTTTAGGTCAAGGCTCTTTTCAGTACCTTGTATCGATGTAATTCTGCCCTTTTCTTTCCCTTCTCTCCCTAGACACGCATCATATCATCACTTTCACATATACTGTTCACATATATCGCATGATATAACTCTCCGTTTCTGTTTCCTCCTCTTTCGACGTTGCACATCGTTTGTTCCTTTTTCCTATTCTCTCTTCATCAGCCACAAACAGTGTGTGTTGAGTCAAATGAGGTAAGAGGTTACCATCATCATGTGCACACTCTTATCCCTAAGAATTCAGTTTCTGCTTTCAGGAGTTTGTCCGATACTTCAAATTGCACTCTGTTTTAATCAAATGGGCTCATGTCTTGGTCGATTACAATGTAGCAATGGCGAAACTGAATATCAGGAACCTGTAAAATCCATTATTTGTCTTTGTCTCGTTTGTGATGACTTACATCAGCCTTTTGTCTCGGTCAGCTTTGATACAGAATTTTTATTCTGCTAATAAACAACAACAACAACGACAGAGGAAGCGAGGAATAACACACTACTATCCATTTCAAAATATACTGTAGTCCATTGTTTTTTTAATAACGTTTGGCAGAAAGACCTAGAACCTTGCGATTTTCAGTTTTGAAAAGAAAAATGTTGGGGCTATCCGAATATAAAAAACTAAATGAAAAAGTACCACCTGAAGTTGATGTACTGCTTGAAAACTTGTTCCAATAGGTTTTTCACCATTAACACTAGAACGCCTAAAGCGTTCATCTAAACTACATCATACTTTCAAAATAAGTCACAGATTATAGATCAAGCCAGAAAGCCATAGATTGAGCTGTGAAATGGTGTAATGATTTTTCAGCGCCAGCGTTAGGAACCGCAGACGTAAAGGAGTCTCACGAAGGCTTTTTCGATTTGATCTATAGTCTGTGACTTATTTTGAACATTTCGTGAAAGTATCATGTAGTTTAGATGAAAAATGAGTGAGTTATAAGGTTTTTCATTTTACATGTACATAAGGGGAAAGTGGATTTTCTGAAAAAATGCTCATTCGCAGCTATAATAACCTTGAGAACAAAATATACACCCCGACCATCATTAATGGAGATTTGGGACATGTTTAGAATTGTACAGCTTGATCTGTTGCATCGAACCCAGTATTTGGAATTCAAAATCCAACACTGTTTTAATGGTGAAAAACTTATTGCAAAAAGTCTTCAAGCAGTACATCAACTTCAGGTGGTATTTTTTCATTTAGTTTTTTATATTCGGATAGCCTCAACATTTTTCTTTTCAAAACTGAAAATCAGGAAGGCTCTAGCATCTTTCTGCCAAACGTTATTAAACAAACAATGGACTACATTGTAATTTGAAATGGATAGCTGTTCGAGAAAAACAATAATCTATATATATAAAGAAGAATGTTTGTCTGTTTGTCTGTTCTTTATGCATTTGGTCCCTGTAAGAGCTAGCGTCACCGAACTTCCATGACATAGCCTTAGGTCCAGAGAAAGGTCGAGACGGGGTCGGTGAGGGTGAGCAACTCCTTGCTTTTCTCATGGCCAACTTTACGTAGCGTAGCGTATTGAAGAGTTGGTGCAATCAAAGAAAATTTTTTGGTTTGTCATAAATATATATCCAATATGTTTAGGTGATTAGCTATAGTGCATACTTGGATATGGCTTAATCTCTTCGTCGTTTTTTATGCCGGCACATGATGTATTGCATTCCTTCTGATGCGTGATATATCGTCATTGGAATTTTCACATCACACAATATAATGACGCTATCAAAATGTTTTATTGTGTGCCATACATATATATAGGTGTATTTTTCTATTGTTTTTCTGTATCAGAGCCATATTCACTATAATATTTCTCATCTTCCGACGATTCTACTAATAAACGTACTCACGCACAAACAAGTAAGTGAGTAACATTCAATATACACTACAAAATTTACACATTACTGAAGTATTTTCGATTGTGACTTCAAGTGCAAATTTCTAAGGTAACTTTGTTAAAAATACACCTTTCTTAAAGAATATTTCTAACCTATCCTAGTTACATTAGAAATACTGCAAAATGCCGCCAAAACGAAGAGCCCTGATGGGCAGAAGTACATCAGCATCGAGAAGAATGGCAGCGTCTCGAGCAGCTGAGAGTCCAGAACAAGGGCAGGTTCGATGCCAGGAAGATCGGACAAGGCATGCGGCCTGCAGAACAGCTGAGACTCCGAAACAGAGACGCAATCGGGTCGATGATCAGCGTACAAGACAAGCAGCTGAGACTCCAGCACAGAGACAGGTTCGACGTGAGGAAGATCGGACAAGGCATGCGGCCTCCAGAGTAGCCGAGACTCCGGCGCATAAGCGGACTCGAAGTGAAGATAAATAAAAATTATATTTCATTGGACACAGTCAATTTTTAATAAAAGAAGCCGATCAAACAAAAACAACATCGAAAAGGATAAAAATGTTTTTAAAAAGTTTAAAATGACGAAAAGAAAAAAGTTCAAAAGAAAAAGTGATCCGACCGCATTTTGCGATATCGAAGTCCAATAATTGATTGGAGACCATAACGATGTCTTTTTCTAATATGTCAAGTATGTAATATCAAATTTTCCCGAGCAACGCCGGGTACTTTAGCTAGTGATATTATAATTGCAACGCAAATTCCTTACGACCCAAGCATAAAAGAAATCTGTTATCGTCCAATTAATCTAGATTACTAGATTTTTACGCGATTGCAATTATTTAGTAACGATCTGATCCTTTTGCCACAGAAACCCAAACTGCATCAGTAAACTTCAAACGTACAAGGGCAGATGCCCAACAACCGACTCACGAACAAAGTGTGCGTGCTGATCGTCTAAAGTCTTACAGACATTGAAAACGTTTGTTGCACCAGAAGGTACAAACTCACAAAACAGAGGGAGAACTGTAATAGGCCCAAGCCATAGGTTGCTGAGGAACTCACAAAATGAGAGAAAAACGGGTTTTCAGTTTTTCTTTAAGTTTTGAATAAAGAACAAAGATATTATCATAACCTTTTCTCTTCGGCTTTTGTGTATCTTCCACTGTAAAGAACGCCGGTGGTCTGGTTGTCTTCACGATGCTTTCGTTGAATAAGAATAAAAATGAGAACGATTATTGCGACAATCAGTAGGAACACACCGCAAACAACAGGTACAATGGTAGCGGTTAACAGTAATGAGCGGTTCCTGTGTGTGACAGTGGCAGCGATCGCTGATGTAATGATTAATTGTAAGTCTAAAAGCAGTTAAACCGTAAGGAATTAGATCAACTTAAGTCCTACTACCTTGTTGACAGTGTTGATCGGCAAATTGTCCTAGGCGAGGAGCCAAATTCGCGTAATGAGTGAGGCGAACACAGGTTGAAAACAAACCATATTGAGTTCGGCACGCTGAATTTGTTGAATTCGATAGAGCCGGCACCGTACACGTTCTCCTTGTTGGGCATTTAGGACAAGGATAATTCGCATACGAATCGTACTCATCCATAATGGATAAAATCATAGATGCTGATGACGATGTGCTGATACCGTAGAATATAGGCGGAGAACTGAAAACGATTGCTGTTCGTGACAATGCGAAGGCTGTTGTTTGTCCGATGACACCTCCCAGTGAGTGTCCAGTGATATAATTGGGAGAAAATTCACTGGCAAAAGAATATGCATTGTATAAAACTTGTGCAAGAGAGGGAACAGAACTGCTGCAGTTTGTTAATGTATCTGAAGAATAGAACACATTTCGTAGACACTGTTTTTCTGCAATGACGAGCAATGAGGTACATACAATGTGAATATACGCCATTGTTGAAAAGCAGCTGTTGAAACTCGGCGACTGCGGGTGTGACCGATAAATTTTGAAACAGAGTTATATCCAAACAAATATCATCTATCAGCGCTTTTCTTTCAGTGATGTTAACACCAGTGCCGCGAAATGCAACGATTCGTACTCGAGTTAAATTGTGAGTAATTGATGCTGCATGTATCTCCGATAAGCCCAGGTCACTCACATTGGTAAGCGAAAAGCCAGAGGGTAAATGTTTCGAAATTGCAGATGGTGAGTTCAAGTACATTGCTGCACATATCTGTCCGAGTTGCTGTGCACTCACATTCAGGTCGGTATTAGTAACGGAAGAAGAGTATTCTATTAAAAGAATCAAGAAAACTGTACGGAAAATACTCCGTTTTATCTTTGGACAAACTAAGAACATCTAAAAATATATACCTTTCAAAGTATCACTTATTGACGAGAATATTTGTTCAATTGCTTAACAGTTTTTGTTTAGTGTCATTATTTATCTGCTTTGCTTGTATTTACCGGCCTAAACGCGCGTGACGGCATTACATTTTTTCAACTTTTAGGCTGTTTCTCCTCAAATACTCAACGAAAGTTAACGAGATTTTTATCCGAGATGTGTGGTAGAATGCTTCGTTTTTGATAAAACTTTATAAAGAATAGGTTAATTAGAACAGTTTTTATGATCAAAATAGATGCCGTGCCATTACATTTTTTAGCCTTTTTTTCTAGTGCTCTACAAACTTTGAAAAATATTCTAAAACGAGACATATTCAGTAAAAATGTTTTTGATTTTCGTAAAATTGCTCCAAAAAAGGTACCATTTCGATTTCAGCAAAAATCAGTAAGCGCTTCTTCTGTGTCTAAAATGCATTTTTTTGAGATCCTTTTGACAAAGTCAATAGAGCATTTTGTAGAGAATTTAATTCTCTATCCACTACTATATTTTTTGAAGTTTTTTAAAAAGTTAAGTAGGTCAGAAAATTGAAATAAAAAACTTCTAAGTTTTAAATTTGAATTTTGGATTTAAAATTTGGGTTTCGTTCGTTTTAAAATTGATATTCGTATATTCGTAGTCAGTGCAAAAAACTGCGTCTAGTAAAGTGCTTTTAAGGCTGGGCGAAGAAGTATCCCTCAATCTACCACAGCTGAGAGTGGCAGTTACGTGTTTTAGCCGTTACGTTTTCTATTTTTTCATTAGATAAGGTACATATTAGAAAACCCTGGATACGAAAAGGACGTGACGGACTAAAAAAAGAGTCTGAAGCATGTTTGGTGGAATGGATACAACCGTAACAAGATCTCAATGGGGCGGTATGTCAATAAAACTCGTCTTGTCTACCTCTGATTGAGGAAAAATGAATTGGCACTTTCAAACTGATCTTGGGTAACAGAAATCGACCAAATCAAGAAATAGTACGCAGAATTGAAAAACTGCGCTTGGTACTATCCACTTTAAAATAGAACGTATTGTCTCATATTTTAATAAAGCATCTTGATTATTTATTTTAGTGATCAAGGACATCTTTATGACAGATAAAGCATGGTACCACCATCAGGAAAAATCAAGAATGCTTTTTACGCAAATGGTTTTTCAAAAATAGTTGTTCAAGGACTTGAGACAGGACATGGAACTAACTGGAACTCAAAGATCTCAGCCATCGAATCACGTACGATCAAAAGAACAATAAAAGAGAGCATTCATATGGATTTATTTAAGGCAAAAAAAGCAAAAAATGTGTGCTCGCAAAAGACGTACATACTGAATATTTTAAATGATAATAAAGGATAAAAATGATAAAAAAGGTGGGATTAATCTTGTTATTCCTAATTAAACTATTCACCTTAAAAGCACGTTCAAAAAATCCTTTTTTTCTCAATAGACGGAGCCAAAGACCATCTAACACCGAAATGCAAGGGTTATATCTTGTAAACCACAGATAAATCGTTGACGGCGGTGAACAGAGTCGAAGATGTGATAGAATAATTTATTAGTTAACAGAGCTCCACATGGACTGGAGTGAAGATTTTTTGAGTTCATGGACTCGAACGGAACTTAAACGTCCAAGGCCATGAATTGGAAAAACTTAGCCCAATTCAGCCCACAATACAAAAACGATCTGTTGTTTACTGAGTATTCCTGGATTCAGGTGAATCCCAACCAGAGACTGGAACGGGTCGGTCGGGTCGGGTTCGGATCAATCTAAAGAATATTGGTTCGGATCGGGTCAAAGCAAAAGAAATTTCGGTTTATATTCGGATCTTGCCACTATAAAACAAATCAAGAGAGTTTCATTGGTTACGATTCACTCTTCTATTTTAAACATATGTCTTTATATCGAAAAGAGAAGTACAGTGTCTTTTCCTTTCTGCTATGACCCCGTGTAATGTAGGATGCAGTAATCCCAAACTAGGAATCGGTGATCGGCACCGAACGGTTTGTTACCGAAGATGTTCGGTCACCAAACTGTTCGCACCCGAACATGTTCGCTGCCGATCAGCGAGCACTAGCTTGGGATGGTTGCATGCCTGATCTGGACTAAAGACAAATTGAAGCTTTTGAAGGAACTAACCAGTGAGAAAATAGACTTAAGTACAACGTGAGGGATTGTGTCTTCTACCGGATCGCTACCAAAGGTTTAAAAGAAATAGTTTGTCAAAGCTAAGAACACGAGAACGAAGAAACACATTAAAGAAATCTTTATAAAACAGAAAAAATGATGAAGATTACACTAAACGGAGGAGCAGCCTTGATTACGCCGTAGCCATAGGTAGTCATGTAAAGAAAAGTTTGAATCAGAGCCGCAAAGTTTGCTTTATTCTAGGAAGTTGAAAGCACCTTTAGTTTCCATTATATCTGATCTATTTGTCTGATCTCTAACTACTTACTAACGTGGCTTCTGTATAACAGATTGATTTAGTTTGTTTTAATGCAAAAATGGTTTTCCTCAATGCGCAAAAAAAGGTAGATAGACAGTTGCAGCTCTAATTTGAATGTATCTTTATAAGGTTTATGGTACTTTGTCCTAATAGTTTGTCAACAGAGCGCTCGTCGATGTCTCTGATGAGAAAAACATAAACTATGATATTTGCAATCTTCGTCCGAACACCTTCGATAGCGATTCGATAGAAGACATATTCGCTCACATTGTACTTTGGTTAATCTTTTTTCTCATTGGTTAGTTCCTTCAAAAGCTTCAATTTTATTGAATTTGTCTTTAATCCAGATCAGGCATGCAACCATCCCAAGCTAGTGCTCGCTGATCGGCAGCGAACAGTTTGGTGATCGAACATGTTCGGTGCCGATTCCTAGTTTGGGATTATTGCATGCCTACATTACACAGGGTCATAGCAGAAAGGAAAAAACACTGTACTTCTCTTTTCGACAACAACCGTTTGGTGACTCAACATGTTCGGTTGAGAACCGTTCGGTCGCGAAACTATCGGTTTGGTGCATGCCTAGTGTAACGTACAGTCTAGTACTGTTAAAGCAAAGAAAGAAAAGAAAAATATATAGTAAAACGCGTTTAGTAATTCACGTTCGTATACAGCATTGTTTTTAGATATATCTGTAACTGAATTCTTTTACCTTTATTCACAGACAGTTAGTCGAAGACACTCTGCTTTTTTTGTTAAAAATGACTTCTAATGAATTTAACTATACTTCATCGAAAATAAGTATGTAGCTAAGTTTTTGATTCTAAACTCTTCCTTTTAAATTTATTAACAGAAATTTATATTTCAAAAACGTTTCGGAAGAATCTTCTTCCTTCTTCAGTTTGCAAAATCATTTATCCTCAAAATCATCATCATATTTTTGCAAATTGAAGAAGGAAGAAGATTCTTCCGAAATGTTTTTGAAATATAAATTTCTGTTAATAAATTTAAAAGGAAGAGTTTGAAATCAAAAACTTATTCAATGTCCTTCCAAACTATCACACAATTAAGTACGTAGCTCTTCTATTAAGTAATTACTAGAGAATTAGAGGTGCAATTCTCGTGTAATCTTCACGTTAATTAAAGCATGAGTGATTTTTGTATTTTGCTGTTTTAGAAAAATTTTCGGGTCGTTCGGGTCCAGTTTTGAAAATTTGGGATCGGGCCGGGTTCGGGTGAATATAAAAAATATTGATTCGGGTCATCCACGTAAGATCCGATTCGGTCTGTGATCCCAACCTTATTTTGAATTCAAACCGGTCCATGGTCTTGAAGTCTAAGCCCACCTGAGTCCATGAACTCAAAAAATTGTAAGTCAGTCCATGTAGAGCTCTGTTAATCTCATATTTGACACTGTTCCCGCAGTCACGCGTGCTTTTTCCCGAAAGCGCTCTTCTTGACTTATTTTATGCCAATTCTACACGCTAGAATATGTTGAAGTTATTATGCTTGACGGTCAAGAGACAGCTGATTTTGCTTATACGATATGCATGGCGTCGGAGCGTGAATGAATTTCCTTACAATACAGCAAACTAAACGAAAGTAAAGCGTACGTATCAAGACATAATTAGCTTGCCCGACATTACCAAGATTCAGACAAAATCGCTTCAAGGGACTCAGGCAATGTACTCAAACGAAGTCAGAGATAGTTCGCTTACTATATATGAGCTTCGGGATAAAATCGAAAGAATTGAAGACTAGGGGTTTAAACGTAGAAAAACACCGATGAAAATAGTGAAAAACTTCTTGATTGGCGAATCTTTCATTCGTTTGTACGAATGCCATATATCAAATAGTGCCACAGTGTGACTTTGACCAAGAAGTGTGGAAAGATACTTTGCCCAGTAAGAAAAACACGATCCCAGAAAGCCTGTTCACCAGAAATCGAAAAAAAGAATTCTGTATCTAAATAATAACAACCATAAGTCTTTTTCAAATAAAATGCGTATAAGCTGCAAATTCGCTCCTGCTATCGACTTGTAAAATAAAAGAAAACGATAATCATCCAGACAGCATGAGGACAGATATAGACAAAAAGAGCTCATTTTCGTAACTGCTCAACCGTTAAAAAAAATGTGGTATCGCCCGGGTCAACTAGATTACTAGATTTTTACTCGATTGCAACTACTGCGTAACACCAATGGAAGTCTAGCAATCGGGCGATTGCTAGATTTATTTTAGTTCCAACTATCAATTTATCACCCGATAATCGATCGCTTTAACTATTGCTAGTTACACACGCAGATACAGCTAGTTAAAAGTCCCTTTTCCAACTAGTAATCTGGATGGTAACTAGTCATGTATCGCCCTATTACCGACGAAATGTATCTAGATTTTTCCCATAGATGATGTTTGCTTGGGTGAATTGAAAATGGTTAATATCGAACAAAAAGACCAGGAACAATTTTAAAACTCAATGTAATAGAAGAGCACTAAACGTTTAAAAATTTTCCCATCCAGGCTTTGATGTCACTATAAATAACCTAGATTAATGAATTCTTTTACAAATTTGATTTCGTGACAATCATAGGTTAATCTGATTGTTGTTACTGTTACTTGTGAATGAAAGATCATCGCTACAGTTTTTGTCACACTCAACTCTACTAAATAATATGAGCAATAGATTCTAACGTTGTGTAGTGCTTCTTGTTCTAATCTCGCTAACAAAAGACATCCTTGTGCATAAGTTAAACCATAAGGAACAGTGAAAAAAGACTCCAATTATTAGTAAAAAACCTATCTTTTCGCTGTCGTTGTTCTGTTCCGTTTAAATCTGCAATGTATGGAATGTAGCTGAACCACGTGATAAGCCCCACTCGATACTAAATAATTCTGATTCAATACCATTAAATGAAATGTAGACTGTTCGATTGGACAGCCAGTTTCTTAACCGTAATCACAATCGGCATGGCATTCCACATCTTGCTAACTTGACCAACAGCCCTTGGTGCCAAACACGATCGAAGGCAGAAATAAAATCTACAAAAATAGCCAGCCCAGGTCGGTTTGATGCTGTACATTGTCGAGCTTGTTCATATAATGTCAATACTGTAGTTTGTAATCTGACGTTCGACCGAAATCCAGATTATGTATGTGCTATTATTTTATTTGCTTTCATCCAGTTGTGGTATTTTGGATGTAACACTTTTTCATATACTTTGTTTACTGACTTTAGTATAGATATTGCCCTAAGTTCGTTTTTTGCTGGATAATCATTTGTTTTCGAGTTGAAGAATCTATCATCATCGCTATTATTCGTGTGCAAACTATTCTCCAAGTCGATAGCATAATCATTCAGATAAATAAATTGTTGTTGATCGTTAACTTTTTCCAGAATCAATATTTTATCAGCAGAGTACTGATCCCATTGATCTTCTTCTGTAATTGGTCATTGATTCAAATTTTATTTCCAAAACCAGAGAGTGCGTTCAGATCTAATTTGCTGATCAGCAGGTTACTGTTGTTGTTGTTGTTTCGTTCGATCCTTCAAAAAAAAGAATTTTTGTTAGAATAATGTAATTGATACGACTTCTCTCATCCTAACCCATTCTTGAAACGGTGGCATGTGTGTGTAGAGTTGTATCTCTCTACTTATTACCCTATACGTAGTGGAGGATACTAAAGCCTTCTTCGTATGTTGTTGCTTCTCAGTAGAGAAAATTGTTATTGCATATTTCTGCATCTGTTCTTTTGCTTTCATATTAAACATTTGACGATTTTATGATAAAGTTCAATATCATCTGCTCTGAAATATTCATCATTATTTGGATTAGACATTAATGATAGTATTTCTGACAAAATCTTCGCCATTGTTCGTGCTTCCAGGTGACCACTCATTATATAATAGTTCTAAACCAATTCCATCTTGATTGTTAATATTTAGATGACAGATTTTTGTTTGAACTCTTACTTTTGGTGGTTTAAATGGATAGACTTGTTTGAAGCATATATCAAGATCAAAGAAACCATTTTCAAATGGTGTTCGCTCTGAACCTTGTATTACTTTCCAATGATAAATATCCCTATCACCAATAAGCATGCAATCTATTCGCCGATAATGACTTCTATATTTATCTAATTCTTTATGTATTCTAGTTTTACTTGCATTCTCTTTAGAAGAATTCATCTTAATTTGTGTTTATGTCAAATACATGAATAAAAACACAACAACAATCAGAAAATACAAAGTCGTTTAATCGGTAGCATTATAATATGTTTCGGTTATTAATTACAAACTCGTCTGATCAATTTATCTGTCGTTCTGAATTAAAATACGTGAACTGAATATTGGAACAGGCATACTTTACCTTGTTGACTTTATAGATGAGTCATAAAGATTTTTCTCATTGGTTTGAAAATTCATCAGTCACAGAAAAAGTCAGTACTAGCGACAGTACAGAATGAAAAGGCGTCACGTACTTTTTCACCCTGAACTACGGTCGTCAATAACGGCTGAAAGATTGTTTAGTGCAATATTATCCGTAAACAAGGAACTTAAGCTAGTGACTTGTCATGATGTGAGATAGATGGCGCTGTAAACGATAGAGATGCCAAAAACTATCTGAAGTAGCAATATTACATAATTAAAAATATATCAAACTATTTCGCTTTGGAGATAATAACGCTACGTAAGAAGTTATTATCAAATGAGAAAAAAGAGTTATCATCCGACTTGCCTTTTCTCTTCGTTCTAGGACACTAGCACTTATAGTCAATAGCGATTCATAAGAGAGTCACGAGTCTATGATCGACAATAGCAGCAAAAATATCATATAGACAAAATGGCTTTTGATCGTCGTATAATCACTATATGTGCGAACCGTATCATGGGAACAAAATTCATAGCTCCTTTGAAACGCAATTGTGAAGCTTAAAAATGACAGATTAGAGATGGTTTGATGCGATTTACAGAATGGGTGACCCAGAAATGTTCCGAACAAATTTAATTTTTGGGTTTCTCCCTAAGTCACGGGTTTGAATTAGATTTAGAAAATGAAATGGGAGCTAAACGGACTTTCTATTAGTAACCGGTTCGATTACATATAAGAAAAGTAATTTCACAGTTACCCTAGGCGTCGATTCTTACATAAGCATCAGTTAAGAACCTTAAAAGAAACGTATAAGTACCCAATAAGGTTCACGTAAGAATCTTATCTGATTCTTATCAAATTATTACATAAGATTACGGAGAAAAGTGAATGGAGTTTGATAAGAGTCTTATAAGAATGTAATAAGAAAGTCATAAGAATTTTATAAGAAAGTGACAAGAAGTCTTATGAACTTCTTATCACTTTCTTATGAAATTCTTGTTTTGTAAGGTAAGGTGATCTGAAAAATGCTCAAGAAGTTAAACTGCGTTGGTGGTGCATCTGAATTGTGCAAAAAAAATTTGAAAAAAATCACACGGTCCTTCTACGATTCAAACCTAGAGCCTACGCTGCCATGTTCTTATCCACTGAGCTATTATGGACTGTGATAATAAAAGATCATCTCGCTTTCACATTCTGACCAACCAGTTTTAGATTTCCTTGTCTGAGCATATCGACAACTAAAGTAAGAGGGCTCTCGAGAGCATAACAAGTTCAAAGTCACTATGAAATATATGCACACTTTGAGTTTCTTACTGTTTCGCTGAGTAAAACGGAAACGTTAAATTACTCGTTGTCCAAAATAATTTAGAATTAACTCTTCTAAAAAGTCTTAAAAGGACAAGGTACGTCAGAAACTTCTTATCAAAATTCGGTAATGAAAAGTGTAACACGTTTATAAAACACATTGTGTAACACGTTTATAAGAAACAGATAAGAACTTTTTATCATTTCCTTATGAAATTTTTATGACTTGTTAGATTCGTATAAGACTCTTATCAAACTCCATTCGCTTTCCTGCGTAATCTTATATAATAATTTATCTGATTCTTATCAGAATTGCAGAAACGTTTTTGACTAGGCTAGAACGCTTAATCACTCGGGACGGTTTCTCGTAAAGCAAGAATTTTCAAGGCAGAGAAAAAAAAAGAAAAGAAATGAGATAGTCTAAAACGATAAAGTTAAAGACAATTGTCATGATACCGTTTTTTTAATATCGACCGAATATTTTTTAAAAAGGGAAAACGTCCCTATTTTAAAAGATGTTCTGTTCAATTTATGCATTTTAACCCTTTCTTGCCCTTTGATCCCTATAGGGACCATGTTATAAAAGTTTTATTTTTTTTGAACTAGAAGGCTTTTAACGAGGAATCTTATGTCACCTTTAAGAGTAACTATCGTGGACTGTATAACAAGAATCTAAATCTAATCTTTATCCCTAAATTAATTTTTCATGACGCTCGTTAAATACATCATGTTATAACATGCACTATAACCGGATCATAAGAGAGAAACATCAGAAATTTCTTTCAGTAAAAAGTAACCTATGTATCATATGCTCAGTAAATTGACATCTAATGAATTTAGCTCAAACTTTTTCTATGTATATTAGGGGTCATAAGAGTCATGTTACT